TAAAGAAATAAGTGATGCAGGTAATATCGCATCAATTATGATGATTTCTTTAAAATCATCAAAGCGTTTGTAGCATCTGATGAATTGCGTTCGTGTTCGGGGACTGAAATTATCTTTGTCACTTCAATTCGTAGATATACGGATGCAATATGTTCTTATGGCACAAGAGACACGATTGAAACACGAAGACATACAAAATACGATACGCAAAGAGCGCTTGAGCGAATTGATGTTTGTGACATCTAGTGTACTCAGCGACATTTTCGCGTACGCAAAAATATAGCCTGTATTTTAATATTTTTCGTAACAAACACGCCCGTAATACCGAGGTATATTTTTCGTGTATCTGTGTATTCGGGCAGTGAAATGAAGTACCTTTCATGATGACAGTTACGGTATTCCGATAGGAATATTTCGCCACCAGAAATTTACATGTCGATGGGATTTCGGGGAAATGCGGCTGTATAAATATTAAAAAATATTTTAATAATTTATCGAGGAGAGAGAAGAGAGAGTGTCTGCTGGAAAAAGCTGATTTAAGGCGCGAGGGGCGAGAAAGGAGCGGGGAAGGAGAGAAAAAAGATCGCAAGGCCATGGGCTGGATAATCCATCCTCGAGCCCTCGAGCGAGCGTTTGTTTTCTCTCGATTGCTATCGAATCGAGGTGGAAACGATATTTGTCGCCGAGGCGGCCTACTCGAAAAAGAAACTTTCCTCTATTGCGTCTTCGAGGCAGCCCGACGACGCTCTGATCCTAGGAAATCTCCGAGATTTTTCCTCGCGTATTTTGAGACCAACTTAATCGCGTCTTAACCGCGTTCGCCGAGTCCCAGTCGCCTCGAATACAAAACCGCCATATCGACGCAGCAGGATTCACAGTTCCAGAGTTCAAACAGCTCTCAGAGTCTACTAATCCTTTGGCTATCGTTGGTGCACATATACGTGTGAAAAGTAACTTTGAAATACGGTAAAAAAAGTACAAGTACCAATTCCCAAGCACACACTTAATCCTGGACATTCGTGTTGTTTTTAAACACCGATGTTTAAACTTCCAACATGAAACGCAAACATATATATATATATATATATATATATATATATATATATATATATATATAT